TTGAGGGGGGGGGGGCCGCGAAGGTGAAGTGGGGGGGGGGGCCCTCGATGATCAGTTGAGGGGAGATAATTCGCAAAATATGGTGGATTTAGGTGATTTTTAACTACTTGACCGTGATTTTTTTGATTTAAGAAAAGCGTTTGACACTGTCACTGTCTGTCAATCACCAAATATTGATCAGGAAGCACATCCCGCTATGGTTGCGTCCGTCAGTTAGCAGCTGGATCACCTCTTATTTAAATTTTAATCGATCACAAAAGGTAAAATATAACACCCTCTCTCAATCATGTAATAATGTTCATGTAATCTCACAAGGATCCATACTATTACTTGGACCACTTCTTTTCACCATTTTTGTTAATGATCTTGCTTTTAACATCACAGTTAATAACATCACAGTTGATTTGTATGCGGACGATACCCGGCACTTTATTTTTCACACACTTCAATTGGTTTTATTAACGACTATCTTTCTGAAGATATTGAATTAACACTGCCTTTGAACGTACAGGCTAACTATAAACATTGAACAAACTTAGGTGATATGCTTTATTAATCGGCACACAGCGGAGATCCAAATTGATGTGAAACTTTCAGGTAAGTCCCTGAAAAGGCCCACAAACACCTTAGCCTTATCTTAACTCACAGAAACATAGAGTAAGCTCGAATTTGAAAATTTATTGATAAACGTACTGCACTTTACTTTACAACACCCTCATAAGTCCACACATTGCCTTTGGGTGCTCTTTTGTGGGGCACCCGCTACACTGCACATATTGGCAAAATTCAGAAAAATAAAGATAACACGCACATCCACACTAAATTTTACAAACTCTGTGTCACAGAGGGTGCAATACCAGGTAGGCTTCCTCACCTTCAAGGCTCTTAATAGCATTGCCCCGGATTCTTGTTCCGAAAGTGAAGCTGGAATGCGTTAGAAGTGCTTTCAGTTATTTAGCTTCTAAGTTTTACAATAGTTTACCCATTTGCTAAGGGGATGCTCTGGTTTTACAATTTTAAAATCTCAATTAAAGTCACATTTTTTATTCTACATTACCATATAAATTATATATACATTTACTGTAATGAATTTAAACGCTATTGGTTATTAAGTTTTATAAATATTTTTATTGATATATTATATTATTATATAGGCCTATATATATCTGAAGCGTTTTGGGCTATCGTTTTTTTTTTTCTTTTTCTGGCTATCGTTTTTTTTTTCTTTTTCTTTCTTTATTTTTCTTTTTTTACCTCCCAAAAAAAGTGTGGGGGGGGGGAGGGGTGGCGGCTCCCTAAATCCGCCCCTGATATTGCTACAGTATCTCAGATGAATTTTATTTTTGTTTTGTTGGTGTATAGTGTTACAGGCCTACGTTTGAATTATTGTATATAGGCCTATGTATTTTATTGACATTTTGAAGAGGGCCCCTGAACATCAACTGGCCTTCGGGTTCAGCTGGAAGGGTTACTCTCTATATAGTTAATTTTCCCTCATAATTATTGTTAAACCAGATTTGATTTAGTGCGAACAAGTTTCCGAATAAACTCGAAGAAATCTTCCCATTTATGCACTTCTTTCCGGTTACTCTCTTCATCGGTGTAAGATCTGGCTTCCATTAAATCTACATCCATCTGTTGTTCGTCCATTTCCGAATAAACCAAATGAAATCTTCCCATTAATAATTGCCTTCAACTTCTTCTTTCCGGTAACTCTCTTCATCTGTATACGATCTGGCTTCCATTAAATCTACATCCATTTGTTGTTCGTCCATTTCCATATCATTTATAGAGGGCGCTGTTGGAATTACTACTATTACGTTGTTTTCAACGTCCCGGTTTACAACTTTCATAACTATGTAACTTATGATTAAGAACATAAAGAACATGGCCAAGCAAACGGATACAGTAATGATACTGATTATTCCAAGACTGTAGGTGCTACTACTTGCAGAAAATCCACCCTTTTCTGACTGAGACTGATCTGAAATTATAAATATATATATTTAAAAAATCACATTTGTATCTACGTGAGTTTGCAATTATTCTGCTGTATACTGTTACATTGTTTGCAAAACGAGTTAAAACGGTACTGTATTAATTATAACCTTTATATGCGCATGATTTCACACGAACGACCAAACGTACACTTGTATTAAGTCCGGAAAGATAGAAATATTATCATTCAATCTTTCTGTAAATATGATAAACGCACTCGGGAATAAATAGGATTAACTTAATTGTCGATCGAGTTACCTTCGCAGTCGATTCCCCCAAACCCATCAAGACAAATACACTCTCGGCTACCGCTACTTAGCTCGTGACATTTCCCTCCGTTTTGACACGGCTGACTTGAACATGGGCCGCCTAAAAATAACAGAAAAAGAAAGATAATTTCATCATCATTGTTATTAAATAAGAGAAGTACGAAAATTATGGTGTATGCCATATGTTCAACGTTTTTTAGACCAAAACAAATTATTAGAAGGCAAGGGATGGAGAGATAATAATTATAAGTAAACACATCGATATTTTTGTAACCTAGGCCTATTACATTTACTTTAGATGTTTCAACGTAGGCCTATTACTTTATTATTATTATTATTATTATTATTATTATTATTATTATTATTATTATTATTATTATTATTATTATTATTATTATTATAGAATTATCCTAATTGTTCATTTGAAAGCGAAATCTTTTTTATTTGTATCTTGTCATATTTTAATACAGGTATTTAAACTCGGCGAAAACCTTTGGTAAATGAGAGTTGAATCTTTGCTTTTTGCTTTTTAAAGATTTATTTTCTCAATAGGCCTAAGTATAAATGTTGATTGATTGATTGATTGACTGATCGATTGATCGATCGATTGATTGATTTACTGACTGAAAGCCATTAGCATAAGAGTATAATATGATAATTTATTTGAGCTGGCTAACCGTTACAATCCACACCCGCGTCTCTATTGTGTCCACACTGCGCAGAACTCGGCATTGACGTAAATTCACATTCAAGTAACGTGCTTTCACTTCCGTTGCATTTAAATGATGAAAAACCTACCACGCCTGTTCCTTCGCCATATCTATTATTATATTTAACGAAATAGAAAATAATAAGTATACATTTAATTAAACGATAGGTATCTATTGAAGCCTGTACAAAATTGGCTTGCTGGAGCAATTCAGTGGGCTCAGCAATTCAATGACATGTACGCCTATTGTCTTGGCCTAATGGTACAAAATTGAACGATTTCACTAAGCTCCACCCTTGGATATCGTTGCTAAGGTCCAAAAAAGGACAGTGTAAACGTACAAACACACGAAAGTTTATGCGCAAACGCTGTGTTTGTGGTACAAGCGCGTAGGCCCCCACTATATAAAACTCACGAAAGAAGCAAAAATAAAATAAAGGTAAAGGGAAATGTAATTTTTCATCAATCAATTAATTATGCTATTTCGATGTGAGTGCGTCAGCAAAATATTTCCCACTGCTACTTGCGTATCGGATTCAACACTAGTCACTAAGCGCAAGGTCTAATGGAATGGTGCCAGGCTAGCTATCTGGAGGTCACGGGTTCGATTCCAACCTGAACCACTTGTGAATTTTTTCGCAAATGTTTGGGAACGTACTGAGTATTCAGTACGATAAGACGTACGTAAGGAGAGCAAAACATCATTCCTACAAATTTTTTTTTGTAATGGTTTTGGTAATGTAATCGTTTTTCCATTATTGACATTTATGAACAGACAGGCAAACTTTTTCTCAAGTCTGACAAAACATGCATTCCCATGTAGGCCTATCGTAAATGGCCATAGAAATATGTGCGCTCTCCATTCAAAATTCTCTAAACGGAGGTGGGGTCGGGTCATGTATCCCTACGTAGTACCGAACGAGAGAGAATTGATTGTGCAAGAACATTCATGGGACCGATATCCGGTGGCATTTAACTCCTAATTAAATAGACCTACCTCCCCTCACTTAATCATCGAGTCCCCAACTCACTCTTCACACCTCCCCCCACCCACCCCATTTTAAAACTCCTAGATACGCCACTGTATAAACAGAGATGGCGCCAGGATTTGCCCGACGGGGGGGGGGGGGCGATGCCCCGGTCGAGGGGTCAGATTTCCCCGACGAAAGCAAGGTGGGCGTGGTCAAGCTTCGATTAAAAGGTGTGGTCCAGTGGGAGAAGCCCCTAAAAATTTTGACAATTTAGGGGTTTCAAAGGCTTATTTAATCGAATTTAGAGTTTACTAAATAGGTAGAAAATACATGTAATATTTTTCTCCCCGACGAATTGTACTTTTTCTCCCCGACGGGGGGGGGGGA